TATTCTTTCTGTTTTTACTTTTGCAGTGATACCAGATAATTCAAAGCAACTAATCTAATCAGTTTAGCTGGTATTCCTAAGAAGACAAGCATTTAACAAATTTTAACATGTTCGATAGTGTCAATTGATTGTTAATAGTCTATAAAATGACAATAGAATTATATGAAATATTTACTTGGGTATAATTTAATCAATTGTAGTATTGCCACACAAAAGCATATCGATGATTTTAAATAATTTTGTGAACATAATGCTTGATTCGTTCATAGAGAATGCTTTATATGACAGCTTTATATGCTCTATTTATTAAGGATATATATACCACAATATTCGCATACTCGAATGTGATCTTTTCTTATTCATTAAAACAAGATGTAAATGGGATTAATGAATTGCAACTGCGACTTACAACTATGTACCGCAATCATATAAGAATTTATTTTAGAAACAAATTCTTACAAAAAAGTCTTTTTTGTTCTTAAATATTGTTTGTCTAATTGCTTGTCTTTAAGTATTTAAAATTAAATTAAAATTAAACAAATATCACTGTAAAAAAATCTTATGAATTGCTTTTATATTAATAGAAGAAAATATATCAAAAAAATATCAGTGACTAAAATGTCAATAATTTCGGTTCAAGCTTATCATTTGAATAACACCAATTTTAAATTTTGTATTTTATATGCCAGAGTTTGGATCTCATATGGAAAACTTGAATTGAAGATGTTGGTTAGCTATACCTTGGTTCATAGAATTAAGATTATAGCTTACAAAAAAAAAAAAAATTTGGTAAGATTTTTGTGTTCCGGTGTAGATGCGTATTAGAGAACTGCGATCAGTACTCAACACTCGAATCATTGACTGTTTCACATATATAGATTCTAAATCTCTTTTTAGTATATTCGACTCCAACTGATTCATACAAACAGCTGACAGCACTTATAATTATGATTGATACTCTGCTCATATGATACTCATAAACACTAACATAGCTAACAACAGCACTCACATGAAATTTTTACGAGTGCTACAAGTGATTCGAGTTATTCATTTTCGATGAGTATATTCATACTCAGCTGAGTATATGCTATGATTCATGAATCATACGTATTCTTGTGAAGCTGATACATTAGCACCTGCATACGTTAACGAACATACTTAGGAATCATTTCTGTGATATGTTCTGTGGTACTAGGCATATAGATTTAGATCGTTGCAGTTCTCTGATGCATATTACTTTCAAATTGCGTACGTGTTATGGAAAAAGTGGGAGGATTTGCAAAAACCTTGCCAAAGTCTTGCCTGTGTAGACGCGTCGAAACTGTTACAGTCCGTAAAAAGTAACAAAAATCATGTATTACTAGGCATTTTGTTGTTACATTTATTACTATAGCATGTATATACTATGTTATAGATACTTATGCTATCTGTTTTGGAATCATTATGTTTTCATGAATTAATAAGAATACTGTTATCCTCGTTATCAACTAAACTTACAGAATTAAAACGTTGCATACATATTGCATATATATTGTATATATATATATATATATATATATTCTAGCAATATTATATATGTCGGAAAATAGCGTCATATGGATGATAACACTGCTGAATGAGTCAAATTGTGAGAAAGACCCGAGTATATCAAGGAACTACTCTGTTTTTTTTACCTATTCGATAAAATATCTAAATAAATTGATTTTTTGTGTATTATTGAATATTAATCTTTTCCAACATAGTGTATTCATAATTAATTAAGTATAAATAAATAATAAAAAATAAATTTTTATAAGTGTACACGGCACTGAGTAACACTGTCAATTAGAGATAAATTTTGAACGGAATTCGCATTGTGTTTAGTACGTAGTGACTCTGACTAAGATTTATTATCTGATATCTGAATGCTCTACCCTTTCTCTTTCAATTGTTTATTTCGAAAAAAATAGAACATATTCTACCCACTCTTGACCCCTTCGTTGGTTTTAACGTGCTGGCCAATGAGTTTTCCCTGCAATTATAATGACTTGTTTGTACTTTAATAGAAACATATTCGCTTCTAATGGGTTATTTTGTATTTCTTTGTATGTACCTATGTACGTATTTCAGTTTTATTTAAGTTTTTTTCTTATTTTTATTTTTTTATTTTTTTGCTAAAAATAATTTTCGCTTTAATTGCTTACAAATTACACAAATTATTTAAAAATAAATTTTTTACTGTTTATTTCGTTTGATTGCGATTATCTCTGGTTTATTCTGCCAATTGATTTTTCATTTTTATTGATTGAATAGTCAGTAAAATTTATGGGCTATTCAGTTTATTGAGCTTTAGGTAATACATTTGTGGTTTCTAAATAGTATATATACAAGTATGTATTATATAAAATGGGAAATGTGAATTTGTAATTTACAAAAATGCTAATAAATTTATTTATTGTAACTGATTAACATACAAAAGGCAATTTATTACAATATATAACTGCAATTTCAGGTTTGCAACAGAAATAACAAATTAATAATAAATTAAATAATAAATAAATAATTCAGTATATTAGTAATTAAGTTATGAATATATTAGTAAATAAATTCCAAGTAATTTCTTTTATAAATATTTATGTATTTTTATTCAAATTATATAAGATAATAAAAAACTAGTTAACTTTGGCTTTACTGAATCTTAAATACCCTTCAATCACTCAGTTATCTAACAAATCAGTTATTTACTTTAAATAGTCTTCAATTATATATTACGAGTATATAATTTAAGACTTTATTGTAATAATCTTTAATTATATCAGCTATTATATACAGCAGATATAAATATATCTTTTTTGACCTATAATTTAATAAACATATAAAATGATAAATTCTGTAGTTATGTAGTACTGTAAGCCATATAATACAGCAGATGTAAATATATCTTTTTTGATCTATAATTTAATATACTTATAAAATGATAAACTCTCTGTAGTTATGTAGTACTATAAGCCATATAATGCCAAGGCCTGTTAGTCTCTTTAGTGACGTTTTCAAAATTATTCAAGAACGTAGAGGTATTCAAAGGCGTTCGGTAACTTTGGTTAATTGCTAAAGTTTTAAGTTTATTGTTTTTGTGAAATTCCAACATTACCGAGTTAACGAATTACCGCGTATCTGGTTTAAACATTTTTCCAGCAAAACATCAGCTGATTTTTATTATTATGAACTGTTAAAAAATATTTAAAATTATATATTAAATTTAAAGTATTTGATAAAATTAGAAATATTGATGGAAATAAAAAATTATATAAAAAAATTTTTTAAAAAAAATATTTCCACTTTTTTCCTATTGTTTTACTTTAAATTTAGTTTTACAACTTTACCAAGAAAGTATGAAAAATACGCTTATTATTTTATCACTTTACCGATTACCGCGTTACCGAGCTGCCTCTAAAAAACCTTAATATTTTTTAAGAGATTAGCCTTTATTTTCGAAAAATAAATTTGATTCTTAAGTAGTGTCACCACATCTGATGTTGACTTCCTATTTCTATTATATGATTAAAATTAGAAGGATATCTTTAGCTTGGTATTAAAGAATTGTTATCAAGATAGCAGGTTTTTTGTCAAAATATAATGCTGAAGAGTCAAACATATATGAAATTAAAGCAGGTGTAGCACACAATATTGTGTTAAATCCGATTTAATACACAATATATATAGATCAGGCATGCGAACAATATAATATGTCCTTGTAGTTACTTATCTCAATGATATGCCACTATTATTCTCTGAACCGATATAAACAGAAATCAATATATATAATAAATATATCAAATCTTATTTACATTCATTCAGACCATATAAAGAAAATTCAATTCTAATTGGATCAATTTACTCTAAAATATATTTCGACAAATATTTATGTGTCCTTCTTAAAAATATTCGGTATCCAAACTGTTTTTATAAATATATTCCAAATCAATATAAGGACTATGTTAAGCAGACACTCATATAACGGATAGTCTCGGTAGTTTTAAACACTTTTTACTCACACTTTAACAATTTCGTACTGTTACTATTATTTTAAATGCTTTTTGGTTCTATTTAAATTAAAATGGTGATAGTTTTTGTGTAGAAATGCTTGCATAGTTCATAAGATCTACTGTGTCGAGTTTATCGATTTAGAATGTCTTCCACTTATTTGAAATTTACCATACTCTATTATGTTAATACATTAGTGTAGGGTGTCTCACGGTTCCTCCTGCTCATCTGTGCAAAACCAAAGGAAGAGACTGGAAATCCTTTATTAGGGATGTCTTCCAGTTAATAGAGGTGTTATTTGACATATAATGTGCGTTTAGAATTTCTAGCTTAGTTCTTAATATGGTCTTCCTTCAGTTTAGCTAGGCCTTGTATCGACATTTTTTGTGGGTTACTTTAAACGATTTAGATTGTAATATATCTGATAGTATATGCGAGTTTAGTCCTTAAACATTTATTTGTTGTATTATTATTTGGTACCCAAATCATTTTTTTCTGCCTTTACAAGTAGTTTCTGAATAAAGTAATATTCTAGTTCACTGTTTCAATATTATCTATATAAATCAAACTTAAAAGCAATTATTATCGAAGAAATAATTACTGTGGGATTTGTTTAATAAAGAGTTACTAACATTTTTATGACTGAAAGTTCCTTTTGAGTGAAATATTCTTTGACACTCCTTATACCTATGAACTGGTATTAAAAATAAATTCTGAACTCTACCCTATATAGTGTTTTTAGTTGCTTCACTTAAGAAATCACCATATTTCCTTGTCAAGAAAAAACCTTAATAAAAAATTATATCGAATGTGCACATTAATTTAATAATAATAACATTTAATTAATTAGTACAATTATATTATATAATTACATGGTACATTTAGTTGTTGCGATAACAATTAATAAATAATAAGACTTATTAATCATATATAATTATAAGCTTGCTATATTGGTTGAATTTTTTAATATTTCGTAGGTACTGAAGAATGTCCGGTAAAATCAGTGGTCAATCGTGTAGGACTTCAGTTGCAAAAAGCGCTTTCAGAAAAGGGCATGGCACTTCTTGTAAATCATGGTATAGCTGATGAAAAGGTAAATCATTATTTATTATAACTAAATTATTATTTATTTAACTTTTATTAATAATTTTTATATTTTTTATAGTTAAAGACAGCTTGGGATCATTTAGATGACTTTGTTGAATTATCTGAAGATGTTAAAGAACATTACATACGCACACCTAAAGACAATCATGGATATGTCAGTCCCGGTCTTGAACGTTTCGACGGAAAAACACCAGAGCTAAGACATGCCTTTAATATTAGCACACTTAATGCTAAAAATTTACCAGAAGAGCCATTGCCTGGTTTTGCGGAACACATTTCAACTTTGGCTAAAGATTTTAAATCACTGGCTAGTTTTATACTTCAATCTTTAGCCGTTTCATTAGATATACCACAATCATTTTTTACTGAAAAACATTCTCATATGTTATCTGGTGATCATGACAATGAAACTACATTACGCTTATTGTATTATCCACCCATAATAGAAGATGATGAGAAAAATGAATATATACGTGGTCATTGTAAATATAGTTATCAACGTTGCTTATCAGATCAGCCCGACTTTCGACCAGAGCATAATCCGCGTGATGATGAACTAAATGAAACTGATAACACAAATGGAAGTGATCAGGCAAAATCTACAGAACGTCAACTAGCTAATGGTTCAGTAATACGTTGTGGTGCACACACAGACTATGGCACATTTACATTATTGGCTCAAGACTCTGAAGGAGGTTTGGAAGTTAAATTGCCAGGAAGCGAGAAATGGCATCGTGTTGGACATTTGCCTGGTGCAATTTTAGTGAATTGTGGTGAAATTTTATCAATATGGACACAAGAACGTTATCCCGCTTTGGTAAGAAAATAATAATATAAATATTATTTTTAATTTTAGAGTGATTACATTTTTTTGTTACTGACAATTTTATAGCAACATCGTGTCGTCATTCCGGAACAAGAACACATACGTTCACGTGGTCGTCATTCTATAGCATTTTTCTGTCATCCAGGTGAGTTTTTATGAGTTGATTTTTTTATTTTTATTACATTATCTGAAATTTTGAGTCAATAATGAGACTAAGTTACTGTGATTTAAAAAAAAAAAGAAATATAAGTCACCGACATTCAAAATATTATTTCATATATATATATAGTAATATATACTATATATAGTAATTTTATTTTTATATGTATATTAATTTTATTTTTATTTACATATATTTTTTTTTTATATTTACTAATTTTATTTATGTATATATTAATTAATTTTTATGTATATTAAATTTATTTATATATATTACTTTCATTTACAGAATTAATTTTTTTTGCATTTTTTTATAGATGCATATTAATTTTATTCAAATATACTAATTTTTTTTATATATATTAAGTTTATTTAAATATATTAAATTTATTTATATATACTAAATTTATTTATTTATATATTAATTTTTTTATATATATGAATTTTATTAATATGTATTAATTTTATTTATATATATTAATTTTCTGATATACACAAATTTTATTAAAATATATTAATTTTATTTATATATTTAATTATTTTATTTATATTAATTAAAATTATTTTTATATATATTTATTTTATTTGTGTATATTAATGTTATGTATAAATATATATATTTCATTTATGTATATTCTTTTTATTTATAAATATATTAATTTTATTTATTTTTATTACTTTTATTTTATTTTTCTAATTTGATTTTGTTTCTTTATATTTGTATTGAGTTTATTTATTTTTTTTCTAATTTTTGTACTGAAATATTATATATGTTTTTTAATGTATTGTTTTTTATATTTATTTAATATATTTTTTTATTTTTATTTAATATATTGTTTTCTATTCTTATTTATTACTTGTAAGCCATTATTATGTATTCCTATAGGCAGTCAATGAATACTTTTCAGGATATTTGTTAATTTTTGTATTATTTTATATAATATTTTGTTTCCAGATAATTTGACGATGATTTCACCTAACGATTTACCCTTACCTGAAGTTCAAGACACAACGTGTAAAAAGGGACGAAAGAAGTCTTTTAAAGCTGCAAAAGATAAGTGAGTTTATATATTTCAATTTTTCATATATTTCATTTTAAATGTATATTTATTCATTTTACTTTTTCTTTCTTTACATGCGTTCCTTAAATACACTTAAAAAAATTATAACAGAGTCTACAATGCATACCAGTTAATACAGAAAAGATTCAGAGACACGTATAATAACTCACAATAAACAGAGTACTTAACCGAACCAGTGTTGGCTTTCTTCAAGTGAATTATTAGTCGAAACTGTTAAAAATCATTTATCTGAATTATTTGATCGATTTATTGATCGATCTTATAATAAATTTGTATTAATTTTAAATTTCTTAATACTTTATATAATTTTTTTGTTTATAAATTATATATATATTTTTTTTTTAAATATACAAATTGTATTTATACATTATATAGTAGTATACATATAAGTAATTCATTAAAACATTGTTTGGATTCCTTCCAATTTTTTTCAATTCCTAAATTGACAAAAAATAGACATTGAAGCAGCAATTTCAATTTAAAGTTTGCAGTTTTTTTTTTATTTTAAAATGGATATAGTTTGCGTTTAAGGAGTAAGTATTCTGGGGTATAAACATCATTATGATTTGTAGGTAAATATTTTTCAAAGTTTGTTAATCTGTTCTTAATAATTTCAAATTTTGTACATATTTTGAATTCATTTGGACAACTTTTCAATAAATATTTTGTAACTCTTAACTATGTAAGCTATACTGTATGTATATAGACAATATTATTATATATATTACTATTTTGGTTTCTGTGTATAATATGTATATTACAATATCTATCTATTCAAAAAAAACAAAAAAAAAATAATTTCAGTAATATTTTATAATGTTAAATATTTTACTTTTTATATACTTTAATATTTAATGTTTATTTACTTAATAGACTATGGACTTATTTACTTTTTATAATCTGTCTTTTCTGCATATGATTTGTTTATAAACAAACATTTTTTCATATAATATAAATATTTTTATATATATAATAAAATAAATTTAGTCAGTCATTAAAATATACAAACATGTAATCGCTTCGCTTTGTTATATGAATTTGTTTACTTGTATATATTTTAAATTCATTTTTATCTATATGTTTATCTTATCTTAGTTAGTGGTTTATTAGATTATTTTGCTAAAACATTTTCTTACTCATAGTTAGTACATAACATTTAACCACTCAATTTATATTATATACTGAATACCAAGTGAATTTGTTGATTATCTGTTTTTATATAAAGGAATTTCTGAAAATTTTACTATTCATATAAAAACAATAATTTCGCTTTGTAATGCAATGAATTTATAAAATAAAAAATGATTTTCTAAGTAAATATGTAAAAATTTCAAATTCGGTTTGACGTCATTAGAATTACATATGTTTATTATAGTTTATTATTTTATTTTTAATATAATTTGATTAAGATTGTCGAGCATTAAGTAGAAACCAAGTAAGTTTGAGATTAGTAGGATGCTCAGTAGGAACAGACATGGTAATGATGGTTTAGAGCTATTTAAATTTAAAGTTATTTTTTTAACTACTTTCTAAATTTACTATAGAGATCAAATATAATTAGATTAATTTGTTTAAAAGATTTTGTTATATACATATACATTTATATATAGTAGAATTATTAAGTTAAATATTGTAATTAAGTATTTCCTTTCTACGTTTGCTAAATTAGCGTAAATCTAAATTTGCTGCGTTCGATAAGATATCTTAGCTAGGAGAATAAAATGATATCTTAACTTGACCTGTCTTTCATTTTTTATCCCAAAAAACATCTTTTCCTTTGTGGTAGTTGTAAACCACGGGAATCTATCAAATACGATAACATGATTGGACTAACAAGAACGGACTTGTTACGTCCCGGAATCACTTGTTTTTGTTGTAGGCCGCAAGGATTTTTCTGTATATCCCCTTTTATGCTTATCTCATTGCTAGAAACAGATCATCAAATCAGGATTTTGATCTTAATTGCTGAATAAAGGTGGCTTCGAATACCAAAGCTCATACCAAAACTAAGAGGAGCGGCAGATACACCTTCAACTGTGCTATAAAAAAGCCGCTTTATGCATAGCTCTTCCACGCGTTCCGCACCATTGCAGCTAAACGCAGTTAAAGGAATGACCTTGTTCGAACAGGTGAACGCCACAGAACACCTTCGGCAAATTAATGCTGAAGAAGGGCACTCCCAGTGCTACAACATACATTTGCGTTTGGACGACTAGCTTGATAAGACGACATCATTCGGAAACTACTACACAACTAAGGCCCCATTACCGTTTTTTGATTATAAAATATTACTTTAGTCATACTTATAAGAAGGACACCCCGCCCTATACGGCCCATATTGGCTACGCTTATTAAAATATGGCAATAAACTCTTTGAGGATTTAGCCTTAGGTAGGGAACTTGGTATTGGAAAAAGTGATAGCATGACAAGCCTCTGAACGTGCTTGTTTAATTATTCCGCGATAATGTAAAATTTAACTTTACCGAGTGAGCGCATCTGTATATGTATATTCTATAAAACCTGATCTTTAAGCAGTTACAAAAAAAATAATTAGACCTGTTGTCTCTGGTGATTCGTTAACTTGTTAACATTGTAGTTTCATAAAAATAATGTGTTTACCAAAATGAATATACATTATAAATTGACCGAGTTACCGGTTACGTCTAAATATCCTTAATACGTTAGCGAAGTTGTTGTGGCATTTTTATGTTGAATAATTCGCCTAACCAAATAAAACTAGCCTAATCTAGGAAGAAATTTGCCTAATCAAGATACATTTCGTCTAATCAGGATAAAATTCGCCCAGTTAAAATAGTTTGAGAATACCACGCAGCTGTTTTCAAAGGTGATTTTTGAGTTCAGACTATATTATCTACTAAAGAAGCGTTTTCATTTTGTAAATATATATGTATTAAAATTCAACATACATACATTGTACATTAATTTATAAACTTGCCTTAAATATACCTATTAATGCTCCTAAAATGATGATAGACTGTGTGAAATACAGATTCATAACGGACTATATAACACCAATTACTTACCTATTTAATATTTACTACTCACATTTGAACTTATAAATATATGCACATACATAATATTAGCACGCAAATTACAAACCCAAGACAATATAATATTTATATATATATATACTATATGTATAAATCATTTAATATTACATCTAATATAACTTAATTAGTTTTGGCTTCAGTTTTTGAGATCTATGTTTTCATATTTTTGTTTATATATACCTATATATGTATTAGCATTATGTACAAAAATTAAACAAAAAAATTAATAATATTTAAGTCGACTTTATCAAAAGGATATGTTCACATCTTTTTATCTAATAGCTTATATATTGTATAATAAATTTTTAATAATTTATTTATGTAAGGATTTCAATTACTTCGGTTTTGCAATTTGATTCACTACGTTTGCAAGGCTTCATTTAATCTGTGGGATTGTCGTGGTATTAATTTATATATATTATTTTTAATCCTTTTAGCTTATAACGTATTTATTGTATTTATTTCAAGAGCTCCTTGGTTGCTTATTATTTTTTTATTTATTTTTTGTTTTTCATATATATCTGATATTTAAGCGCATGTGACTGTGTGTACTTGTACTTGTACTCGTACCGTTTCAGTTTTGATACAAAGTTTGCAATTGATTGGAGGAGGAAGTTGCATATTGACGACTTCTGAGGATGTTCATATGGATTTCGGAGGAAGCTGTTGAGTTCACATATGGCGGTAAATCAGCTGCTCCGCTAACGCGACAGTGTAACAAAGCATAAGGACAACAAGACTGAAAATTGAAGTTGATTATGCAGAAAATGTTAATATAATATTTTGATAAAAACCAAAGAATATAACTCTAAGGATAGATAATTTTACGCACATACGACGATACGACGAGTATATAGTAGAGATGCATATGTGAGCAAACAGGATACTTAAATACATAAATACACACAAACAGCTAAGACACATATCACATATATACATTTAAGCGAGCAAATTTTATAATTTTGTTTATTTATTGTGGAAATATAAACATGAAAGATAAATTATGTAAAAATTTGGAAAAATTGCTGGTTACAGGATTTCACACTGATAAACATACTTTACTCTGGGTTTATAAGTACATATTTCATATATTTGCATACCCTGAAGTAACAAGATTTGCATATGCTCATATTATTTGAAAGTTTTTAGCATTTTGATGGTGTTAGACACCGTATCAGAAATGAAAACGCCATCTGTGAGTTAGAGTTAGAAATGAATTAAGTTGATTATATAAAGAGTTGTAGACTTAAGAGAGAGAGAGTGAGAGTGAGAGTGAGAGTGAGTGAGTGAGAGAGAGAAAGAGGTATTTGTTTCAAAATTTCATGATATGAAAACAAAATATACTTAATTGATATATATATATTTGTACTGTAAACTAATAAACTAATAAATAAAAATAATTTTTAACTTATTTTATAATATAATTTTGATCAATACTTACTCATATGAATTTGAACTAAACTTAATTAATTTACTAATTATACACAATTTTGTCTACATAAATCAATACTTTTATAAATTTAAACTAAATTTAAATAAAATTATTAATTTTTTTTAAAATACTAAGATAATATAATAGTATTGTAAAATTTTATTTTTTTTTCTTCCATCACATAAACTAATTCTAATGGCCTATGTCACATTTGAGTAAAATTGAAGATTAAAATTAATTTTTTTAACAATTTTCACACAATCATTGAATATAAGGAATACTTAAATTAGTCAGTGAGATGGGTGGGCCTCTGCAGAAACTCCCCAGCCATTATAGAGTAAAAGTATCCAAATGCACTAACTCGGAAAAGGCTCAACATAAGATACAGTATACTGCATTTAGTGGATTGAAATTTTATTCATGCTTTAATGCTGATGAAAAGGTGATGAAACCAATACATACACAATAGTTTCCTTCTATCATTTTTTGATATTTTCTATTTTATATTTATGCGGGTATTTTAGTCTTAAAACTAGAATAGAACAGTGAACAGGGAAAGTAAAAAATTTATATACATTTATTATTATGTTGAAGCTATTTGAGCCAGTGCACTTGAACATTTTTACTCTTTCTTAACTGGAGGTATTTTCAAAACCCCTCTTTACGTCTTGACTGGATTATTGTTTATCACTTCATCAGATTAAGCAATAATTGACCTCAGATCTGCATACCTCCCCGAGGAGCCTGTAACCATTCTGAGATTTGATAACACGGTGTTGGTAAGTCAGTCAGTTTTCACAAATAATTTCAGGGCTCTATCCTTAATATATTTTTTAATGGGATCAATTTTGACGTCCCTGAGAATGTTATTCGTCCTAATGTATCATGGTACTTTAAAAAATCTTCTCAGAGTTTGGCTTTGTGGAATTTCTAGCTGGCGAATAGTAGTGTTTGAAGCTTTGCTAAACGCTACATAACCATATAGATGTGGCGGACGAATTATTTGGTTATATATCAGTTTCCTGTTCTTAGCATTGAGATTTTCATTTCTGAATAGCGGTTGGAGGTGATGAAGAATTTTGGCACAGCTAATTCTTTTCAGTTTAACATGTATAAGCATTTATATAAATATATATTTATAATATATCTTCAGTTTTAATACGTAATAAAAAACAATAGCTGCTTCTAAGAAAAGTTGTCATGTGTTACTCATATTACTAGATACTTAGAATACTGAACGTTTTGTAAATATTTTGCATACATAGGTACTACAATATTTTAAATAATTTGAAATTTTTTGCTTATGTTTCAAAATTTATGTATTGCATTTTTAAACAAAAAAAAATTTTTATATTCATAAAATATTCATAGTGCAATAAATTTTACTAGTCGAGTTTTTTGACAGATTAATCTCTTTGTGTTTAGCATTTAAATAAAGTCAACGCTTTGTAAAATATTTTTAATTATCGTCATAAAAAATATTATAACATAAAATAAAAATTAAAACAAATTACAATTTTTACTTTTGAATTTAAATATTAATAACAGAGTAAATATTATTTCACTAATGCAATATAATAAAATGATAATTCAACAATTATAAAATGTTAACAACAGTCTGTTATGGAAATAATTCCTCTTCTTTCTATTAACCTATTAAGTAATGAGGTTTATTTATTTTAATTTTCGACTCTATATCATTTACTGAAAAAAGAGCATTATATATAAAATATGTTTTAATTACAGAGCGATTTTATAGAAGCTCAAACATGATTTACTGAAGTAATTAAATTAGATATAAATAGATAAAATAGATTTAATTGTGGATTTTGTTACGCTTCAATTGAAATACAATTAAGAAAGTGCTAGCTAATTGTACTAAAAGATAGTCAGGCCGCACTGAAAGCAATTGAATCCAAAACGTATAAATACAAGATTTTATTAAAATGTAGCGCATCAGTGATGAGCATCAAACATCACAAGGTTTTTCTTTGCTGGGTTTCTGGACATAGCAATATTGAATGGAATGAACTACCAGATGAGATGGCCAGAAGACGTTCTGAACTGTATACAAGAGAGGCCGACCTCTCAATACAAACACCGACATGTGAACTATTTAGGATGATTGAGGAAATTACCAATACGATGACTAACAATTTATGGGCTTACCACGAAGAGTGTGAGGTCGCTAGAACCTTATGGCATAGTTTGGAAAAAAATAAAACTAAAAGCCTTTTAGACTTCAGCAAACCAGTAATTCGTGTACTTACTGGAGTACTAACGGAGCACTGTGCAATTGCGCTTATGCTCCAACGGTTGTGAGTTCTAACAAATGGATTATGCAGGAGTTGCCAAGATGAAGACGAGACAGAATGTATAAACCACTTCTTGTGTCTCTGTCCAGGACTGCAGACAAGGCGACTTCAATGTATTGGGGAACGACTTTTCACTGGCTTAGAAGAGATAACGAAAGCAAACTTATCGGATCTCTTGGTATAGTTTTTGAGGGCATCACAATGGGTAATATATGCCTCCGAGTGGAAGTGCTGACAAGTGTCAGCATGCGCCTTTTGAACCTAACCTAACCTAACTGTACTGATTATATGAAATAAAAAGAAAGCAAGAAATGAAGAAACATTATTTAATATTAATAAAATTATGCTAATTAAATAAATATAATAAAATCAAAAGTATATATATATAACGAATATGTGCATATAATAATTGAACTTTAAAAAAAAGTGCTGGATAACTGTACTAAATATAAAAAGAATGATATAAAAAGAAAGCAAAAAATGAAGAAACATTATTTAATATTAATAAAATTATGCTAATTAAATAAATATAAAAAAATCAAAAGTATATATATAACGAATATGTGCATATAATAATTGAACTTTAAAAAAAAGTGCTGGATAACTGTACTAAATATAAATAGAATGAAATAAAAAAAAAGCAAGAAATGAAGAAATTTTATTTAATATTAATAAAACAAGGCTAATGAAAAAAATATAATATAATCAAATATATACATATAATAAATATTTTCATATAATAAGTGGCTTACATTTATTTACGTATATAAATCACTCTTATTTTATTATTATATTAATACTTCAACAGATTATTTAATTAATTAATATCTTAATTGATTGTTTTGGTTTAAGTGCTTTAATAATTGCTTTTCATAATTTCTATACTGAAATAATTATAGAAATTTTGTTTTCATGAAATTTCAAACAAAAACCTCAACAAAGAGTAAGAAAAGCGTAAGAAGCCAATTAATATGAGTAAAGCCAATGTAATTAACATTATGGAATTAAAAAGCATTCACACACAAATGCCTTACCTTTAATGTTTTTTTGAAAGCGGCTCGAAAATCCCTATTGAAGTAGGCATAAATTATGGGATTTAAAGCCGAATTAAAGTATCCAATCCAGAAGAGAATTCCGACGACGATGCGTGGCGTTGTGCAAGTATCGCAGAGGGTGGAAGTGATGTACCTGAAAGTGATGTAAAGGAGCATTCAAATTAAATGCAGAAACAGCAGAAATTAATTATGTTTGTTATATAAAATATTACATATTTGCAGGACGAATTTAAAATTTATTAAAAACCAAAAATAGCTACAAAATGAGAAATGGGAAAATGGAAAAAGTCAATTTTTATATTTTTTTTTTTTGGTACGTACCACAAGAAAAATGGCAGCCAACAGAGCAAAAACGCGCTCATTATTATGCCTAGGGTACGTGCGGCTTTACGTTCCCGTCTCATGGTTGAGATGGTCGACTGTTCGACTTGTATACTTGGACGTGGTTTGGGTATTTGGCTTATCTGTAAATGCTTGTCTAGCAATAAAGCAGCAACTTTCGACCTAAAATGTACACGCGATGTTGATGTCCATATTGTTGTTGTCATTTCGGTTGTAGTCGATGATGATAATTGTAATGATTATAATCGCATTCGAGCGAATGTATGGCAAAAAAGAAACAAACGTAATTGTTATTAATTGGCAACATTTACTTGATGGAGTGCGTATCGAGTAGCTACTTGACACTTGCAAAAATTTACCTGTACACTAAGCGTTCCTGTCTGTCCGCCTCAAGATAAATGCGATAATACATGGATAGCATGACAATGCCTGGAATCCAGAAACTCATGGACGAACTGACAATGGCGTAGGCTTTGTTCACTTTAAATTCACAGACCTACAATGAAATAAATTAGAGCATTAAGTAACCAAATTAATGATATACGTATGCTTGAAGTAATTGTATTACACCTAAGGATTATGTTTAATTCAGAAGAAAATATGAACAAGAAATCCAAATCCACTAGATGTATAAATTAATACAAGTGAGAGGAGGAAAGGAGAACGTTGTTACTAAGTAGTAATTAGTGACTCTCTTAGTATTATTTTGACTCAACTTCACTTATCCCCCCTTCATTGTTAAATTAATTAGTTATTCGTGTTAAATTAATTTATTCAAATTTATTGAAGGTGGTTATTAATTATTTATCATTTTTTATATATTTTGCAAAAATATTCATTTATTACGGTTTAATAATGAATTGAGTGCTAATTTATAACTTGGTGACATTACAAATTTAAATTAGTATAGTTACGAGTTTACTTTTTTCAATATTATTTAGATTTTCAAAAACTTCTGTAAATTTTAATGAAAAACTTTTAAGCATTTGGTAGAAGACTTCTTTTTCCGCTCTAAGAAAGAAGTCAAAAAAAATTTCAAAACGACAGTGATATTTTTATAGATAATAGCTATAACATAATATTTTTACAGGCTAATTGGAAAATTTTTTATAATTGCTAAAAATAAAAATGAAGAAAAATAAAATATCAAATTATTTTATAAAGAGGTTTCTTCGAACAGTAGTGAACTACAACAACAAAAATTCATTTTATATTATTTTAATGAATTGAATTTTTGGCTGACCATACAGCTGTTTCGAGTATTGCCAAATACTCATCATCAGAGGTCTTGGAAATAATTCCTGTATTTAATTATTCCTATATAATTATTTTTAAGACTGCAAGTACCAGGAATCGAAGTCGGGTCCTGTCAAATGTGAAGCTCAGAATCAGTGCACCTTAACTAACTAACCCAAGGCCGTTGGTACAATAATTTTTATTTAATAGATCAGGAAACTATTTCCTAATGAATTTCTGAATGATGATTTCCTGAAAATGTTTCCGGATGAGTTTCTCAATGATGATTTCCTGATGATGACTTTAGAGTAAACTCGAAATATCGATTAAATAAAAGTTATTGTAAAATAAATCATTGTTTTTTCTTAATACATATTTTTAACAATAATTAAAATTGATCAATTAACATGTGGAAACACTATATTAAAAATCGTTTGACCATAAAATAATAAATAGATAATAACTATAATACATTTGAAATATATTTAAATAAATGTTTTTAACAAAAATTTAATTATATATACTACAATATCACAATAAGTAGTTACTCGAGATAGTCCATAATATAATATACGCTTCAAATAGCTTATTAAATTATTTGTATAAACTTGAGTTTTAAATATTTGGAGAATCAATTTTAATTTTTTTTTAAGTATTTACCAAAACAAAGCAATTAATGCATATAAATCTTTTATATATTAGTTTAATATTATATTAAAATATATTTTATTAAAAAAATTTTTTATATATTGCATTATATATTATATTCTTATAATAGAGCCGGAAATTAAACTGGTGTTTCCAGCAAATCAAATATTTAAATTTATTTTCCAACTTAATTTGTTTCACAAAAAAAAAAAATAATTCAGATGTCTTTTTTAATTAAATATATTAATAGGTGTAGGGGCCTAAATATATGGTCATTCTTTTATACAGTTTTTGATATCATCACCTCCGATTTGGTTAGAATATTTTTAAAGCTCGTTTTATTAAACAAAAATACCAGTGTCTCGAGAAAAAATATTTAAAGTTTTATCTAGGAGCTACGAACCAATAGGGTTTAGAATTTTAGATAAGTGGTCATATCTCACGCTCTGTTAATGATAGAGGCCTATAATTTATTGCATTGAAGGATACTAAACTGAAATTGTAATAAATAAAATAATAATTAATTTTTTAATACTATTAATATTTATAGCAGTTATTAATATTAAATGTTAATTAAAAAAAAATTTTGCTGTGATTTTTCAACTTTCGAAAATTGTTTCTTTTACTTTAGATTTAAATTTATGAAATTTTATTAAGAAATTGAAATTCATGATAGCGTTATTTTTAGAATTATTTTTTAAAAATTAATTACGCCTGGTAAAAGTAAACTATGGATAAAACTAAAATAAAAACATAATCAGGTCAACAAAGAAATATGTTTGTATAGCGTTTTTAATGCCTTAAGCACTCTTTATACTACTATATATATACTTTATACTACTACAACGAAGTGAATAGTTACAAAAAAAGGTTTAAAAAAATTTCATTATTTTAATTTTATTAGTACTCCTTTCAAATAATATTTATAATATTACATATATTATACAATAAGAATTTGTTTTATCCATAAAAAATAAATTAAAATTACTTACAACAATCACTCATAAAATACCTGACTTCCTAAGTAAAGTTCACTCACTTCAATATTATGAAAATTTCCTTGAAAATTTGATTTAAACTTCATGTAATTAAAAAATAAAAAATTTGACATGCTACCAAGGCCACTGGCGTCCCACGTAGCGTATGAGTTACGTGCATTTCTTCCCAAATTATTTTGCTTCATTAATCAAAGCGAACATTTTCTCAAACAATTCTAACGCATATTAATTAAAGTGTACATTTAAAGACTTCGAAAAGTTTCTAAATTTATAAATTTAAAAATTGCAAAATTCAAAATTAAAAATACCAAATTATACACGCATCATGTATTTAGATCAAGATATTATTATAATTAGTTTTAAATATAAATTAATAAGTATTTATGAGAAATTTTACTGAAATTAATTAAAATTCAATTTCGTTAAATGTGTAAACAGAGCCAAAGCGCAAACACACACACACACAAAGCAATAAGTAAGGAAAGCAAATACAATATTAAATTCGAAGTAAATTTCGTTAATGAGAAAGCCAGTATGTATGACATATTAATGAGATTTATTATGTTAAATGAGAATAAAAACAAAAACAAAAACAACAACAACAATGATAATAATAGCACCAAGCACCAATGAAAATAAGTACCAACACAAAAACAAAAACAATAACAAAAACTAATTATAATACAACTTTATGCTAATGCAAGCAGAACTTCAATTTATACTGTCATCTTGTCTGTCTCTGTCTCTGTCTTATGTTCTGCTCTGCTCTGCACTGTTCAGTTCAGTTCAGTTCAGTTGAGTTCTGCTTTAAAACAAAATAAGAGGTTAAATTATGGTAATGCTACTGACAGTGCGTTTCTGTGTGTGTGTATGTGTGTGTGTGTGTGACTGACAGTAAATTCATCTTTCCAAAGCGTCTTAAAAGAACAACAATTGCAAGTAATTATATTATTTCATTGACATTTATATTGCAATATTAATAGTGACATATACAAACAAACACACAAGAATCGAGCAACAACTAATAAACAATTAATTTTATGTAGATGGTAGTGGGGTGTATGTGTGTGTGATTGTTTGTTATTTAATTCCTTTTAATGTCAATTAAATAAAGAAAAAATAATGAAAGCTTGGGTAATGATTAATTTTTACTGTAAAAGGTTTCCGCACAAAAATCTATAAAAATGCATATATTTCATTAAAAGACACACTGCCACACACACACACATATATATAGTAAAAAATCATTTAACTACATTATGCAATTTCCTTTAAGTAAAAGTGTTTTAATTAAGTGCCACGGAAAGGGGGTAGTAAGAAGTTCGGAGCTTATTACCATAAAATGCACCAACGTTTACAGGGAAATGTAATTACGAAGTTTTAATTATGCAATTTTTTGTCGGAAGATGCAAAATTATTTTCAAAAAGTTTATGGACAAGCATTTACATTATTATGAAAAGAGTAATTTGGGTTAAAATAATTTAATCACTACAATTTTTTTTTTTAATTTAAGTCAATGTAAAGTATTATAAGATTTTCATTATAGAATATATTAGCAAATCAGTCACAAACCCTTTTTCGTAGTAAAAATATAAAAACTTCTAATTATTTTAATTTTTAATAGTTAATTATAGTTAATAATAATTTAAAATATGCATTAATATGTAGAGACTAAGACCCAGCCCACGCACCATCATCAATATTGAGTGCTACGTATTCAATTTTTGCGCAAGGCTTTCAAATATTTTAATAAAAAAATTATAATAAATATACCTATGTATTTTATAATTCATTGTAGTACGTATATATAAAATAATGTGTAATGTAATGTTATTAGTTTTTAAGATTCTAAAACTTTTTGTTGGGTTTTAAATATAAAAAAAAATATGTGTACTATATTTCATTCAAGTTCTCTTCATAACTACTTGCCTGACCTAATCTCTAGGGCCCATGCTAGGGCCCACACTTGCGTAAAATTGAAGATTTAAATTTAAATATTAAATAACTAATTTTTATAACAGTTTTAGCACAGTTTACTACACTTGCGGATTGAAATTTTCCTTATGCTTTGATGCTGTTGAAAAGGTAATGAAACCAATATATGTTTAATATTTTTCTTTAGACATTTTTTGATATTTTCTATTCTACATTTACATAAGCATGTTATTCTTAATACCAGGAAAGAAATGTTTACCTTTCTAAAGGTAAAGTAAGAAATTTATATGTAATTTGTGAATACCAAAATAAATGGTTAATGACTTCTAAACATGTTTTCTTTTTTGATTTTGAATATCAAAATAAATGGTTAATAACTTCTAAACATGTTTTTTTTTTGGTTTTCAACACTAACATATAACCAAGTAGAGTTTAAGTATACGAACTTTCAATCTGCAGAATTCATCAAATGAAGTAAACATCAAAAACTTGTGCAACAAAATTAATTTTCAACAATTTCTCAAGTGTGGCATGGCTCTATTGCAAACTCTTATTGATGCTTTATATAATCTTTCAAATAATTTTAAGAGCACTTATTCAATATATTACATAAAGACATGATAAAACGATATACATTAGAATTAGGAAAACTTTAAACGATATTTTAAGTTGACTCTTCTGAGCTCTATTAATTTCTTAAAGAGAAAATCTTCTGAAGTGATAATTTTTTATCTGGAGGACTTTATGATATCATTCTAAGGTGTATGTAATCTTCTCATCTGCCATCTGGTGTCAATGACAAATCTTACATATTTTATTGGATTTAATGTACGATTTGTAAAAATCGTTTACAAAATTAAATTTTTGTCTGGAAAACGATGTAGTGATATAGCAAACGTTCAATCATATCTTATATGCACCATCGTCTAAACAGCTTTTACAAAAGGGCCTACGGAGTGTACTCAATTTAGTCACGAGCTTACTTATCAAGTAATGATTTATAACAGGGCTGTCCAGACCAGATGCGATCGCAAGCCAATACAAATCAGTGTACAGATTAAAGGACAGCAGAAACAGATATATACATTCATAGTTGTTATTATAAATACATTATAACATTATAAATACGGTTATTATGTTAAATTTCGTTTTAATAATTTATTAATTAAAATTCATTTATTTGGTGTAGCATAAAAATAAAATAATGTAGTTTTACCGGTACACCAAAAGAAAATTTGAGTGATTGTAGTAGATTAAAATTACGTCTCCGGCCGCATATTGCCTTCGGGCCGTGCTGTGGACAGCCCTGATATATAATAACAATTGTAAATAAATTGATGGCACTTGTTGTTTGACTTAGTAAAGTGTTAGTTTCTTTGTGTTATCTGTTTAGTCAAAGTTACGTTAGTTGATGTGAGATTTGTTTCATCTGTCAAGTTTATCTGTCTATCTTAGCAGATATTTTCTGTTTGATCAAGAAGAATATGAACATAAAATAACATTTACTTGACATAATGTACATTTAACAAATATTTTAAACGTTCGACTTTTTAAACTTAAAGCCAAGGTCAATTGACGAAAGCAATTAATTTTCTATTATTTTTTCATAGAGAGATATATAATTTCTTGTGAATATATATGGCAAGTAAATTTGTTAATGAACTTTTACAGCAAAATAACAAAACTCGAAATTTAAACATACAAGTCAAGTACGATATTGAGTCAGTTGACTTATGACCACTGACTCTGACCTTCAGACCTGATAGGGCACGACTTCAACTCTTGGTACTTGCAGTCCTAAAAAATAATTTGCGACTAAATAAATATAAGAAATAATTCCAAGACCACTAATGATAGGTTTTTGGTAATACTCCGGACAGCTGTATAGTCAGGCAAAAATTCATTTAGTCGGCAATTTTTGTTGTTGCAATTTAGTAAACCTCTATTTTTAAATAATATTTTTTTATTTTGTTCTTCTATGTTAAACAAATCTTAGTATTCAGAATTTTTTAATGTAATAAGTTTTTAAATACTTATAAGCATTTTTTCTTTTTTTTATATTAACTAAGTTTCATATAAAGATTTTTAATTTTTTAATTTATTAATAAATATAAATATATTAATATATATATAAGTATTATTCTTTTAAGTTAATCTGACATTATAAATTTTGTAATTAATTAATTTTTTCATTACATAAAAAATAAAAACAATTTTTTAAAAAGTATTATTTTACTACCGACCAATTAGTCCGTTGTAAAGCAAAATTATCATCAAAGCTAAATCTTAATTGTAATTTTATTGAAACTCAACCAGGTAGTTTTATCTACCTGCAAAGTTATGCAAAATTAAAGATATGTCCTTTAAGTATTTGAAAAATATGAAAATTTGAATCAAAAAGCATAAAAGAAGGAGATAAAGCCTAAAAGAAATAATTTATGGAAATTTTAAACTATTGCTAAATAATTTATGTTTCTGGAGCTATGCAGATATGTGCATGCATTTGCATAAATATGCGAACATGTGCAGCATGCAAGCACAGCATTTCCGTTTTCCTTCCCTTTTTGGAAGGGAAATATGCTGAATTCTTCTGAATATAGAAAAAATTTTCAAGTAACTGCATTTTTTGATAAAGAAAAATAAATAATATTCAAAGAAAAAATATTACATAAAAATAGAAAGAAAAAAAAACAAAATTGAATTTAGTTTTTAAGCACTTTACTTTGTATCAACACAGCAAAAAAAAAAATATATGTAAAGAGGAAAAATTTAAGTGAAATAAATAAGAAGAAAATGGAAAAATACACGGAAAGCGCATTAAACGAGTCAAAACAAGCCATTTTGCCCACAGCATCAAATTTACTTACTCCTTGCAATTTATTTATTGCACTCGGATTTGTGCTACTTCCTATTTGTGCTTGATTCTTCACTCTCTATGCTAAGCTGTGATATTGCATTTAGAAATTGCGAAATTGTGTCTTTGTTGTGTCTATTTTATTTTTGATTTTATTCAAATGGTAATGCAATTTAACTTACATGTGGATTCGATTTTAGATATCTCCAATTCTCGGTTGTCGTATACCAACCGGAGCAAATTGGCAGAAAGGAGAGTAGTGCTGGCGACAGCCATACCATCAGCAGCATGAAGAAGACCCGCCTGTGCGTCATTATTAAAGGATAGTCCAAAGGTTGTACGATGGCATAGTATCTGCAAGAGACAACGCAATGTGGTTAAAGCAAAGCATTAAACAAAATGCAAAACCAATGTAATATATAAACTCAACAAAAATTCTTCTTTGAATATGTGTATATATGTGGAATATATATATGTGGAAGATAGTTTTGTCTTACCTATCAACCGATATGCAACACAAATGCATTATGCTTGCCGTAGAGAAATACACATCGAAGCTGTTCCACATATCGCACATCACCGTACCAAACATCCATTTTCCAGATATTTCAACGGAAGCATTGAATGTCATCGCACACAATGCTACCAACATATCAGCAACGGCCAATGAGACAACAAAGTAATTTGTGATGATGCTGTTGTCGTTGTTGTTATCGTTGTTGTTATTGTTGTTGTTGTTGTTGGCCCGGAAAATAAAATAAAATAATATAAAATACAATAAAATCATTTGCATACAAACACTCGCACACAAACACACATACATACATGCAGTTGCATGGCAGTAACATATGCATATATGAAAGTGTGCTGTATGGTATACTCGTAGATAAATGTAGGGTCATCGGAGCGTATGAGTGATATTTTAAATTTTACAAGAAATGTGCAGTACAAAAATAATATTAAAAAAAATTTTAAATAAATAAAGGTTGCAAAAAAATTTTATTTTTAACAACAAAAGCAAATTAAAGTATTAATTTAAATAATTTTCAACTTAAATATTTATAGACACAGTATACGAGATAGAGTATATATATGTATATCTTTTATTTATTTTTAAAATTGATATTCTGAGCTGTTTTTATTTGCTATTTATTTTGGCATTTATTTTTAAGCTTTTTCAATTTGTAAGTCATGTGAAGTGCAAATAAATAAACAAAAATAATATATCAATTTTGTGCTTTTTAAGCTTATTACATGAAATATTCAAGCAATATTCCTGCTACACTCAAAATCCACTTGAGACGCTTTATAACCGATAATGGCAATCTCATCATAGAAATTGTTAATAAATCATACAATGCCAAAGCGGAAAATCCAATTTATCGTTAGAGTAAATGTGAAAGTGAAGGAAAATGTAGAGTCAGCATAATGCCATAATGCCACAATGCCACAATGACACATTGCCACAATCATTTAAACACTTTAATGACAGTGAAATAGACAAAGAATTTATAAACTTACTGTCGGCGTTTACATTATTTGCAACGATTTATCCTTTGACTTCTTTATTGCAACATAAGTAGGAATTCATGTTTCACTAATTAAGCTTAATTCCCTATTTTGGTTTTACTGCCGACACACAAAACAACTCATAAACCTTATGTGCGGCAAACATAAACATAAAAACGCGAACTCATACAAAATCCAAACTACAAATGTCACAAGGGCAAACGAAATGTTTGCCGGGATGAGTGGCAAGGCGGTAAGGCGGTGGGGCGGTGCGGCGGCAAGGCGATAACTGAAGTATGTTGGCATTAACGAAAGGTTGCAGCAGGATAATAAACGCCCATTCTTTATGTGACACGCATTTTTGCGATTGGGACGCCTTGAGGCGTTTCGCCATTAAAATGCCAAAATAAAAGTGAAAAAATAATAAAATTGTTAAAATTGCTTATTTGAGTTTACACTTCAGTTGTGCGGTACAGATTTTGAAGGGTCATATCAGGTAGAGTTAGAGATGTTGATAAGATTATAAAGTTAATAAAATGATAATAAAAATGTTTAAGTTTTATAACTATTACTGGATTTTATATTTCGTTTATGTGTCTAACTAAAACGAAAGTTCTGTAAAGAATTCATTTTAGAACAGTATTGTGTGTAGATAGTGAAAAATGCATCCATTTTAGTTATTACCTTTTAAATATTTTATGATTTAGTTAGTTACATTTTTTAATTGTTAATTTAAAATATATTAAGATAAAATAGTAAAAATTTAATTCGGATTAGGGGTTGAGCTTCGATGTGTTCCAGAAAGTGTCACACATTCTCTAATTAGATCCCGATAATGAAACCATTAGCAGTTCTTATCAAGATTAATATAAATCGAATACTTGTTCGTAAATCCAGTAAGAAACCAAATGATTTAGGTCTTACAAACAGAGCTACATGCGTTACAACATAACTGATTTTGTTTAAGGTTAATATAAGAATCGATTAATTTTTTAATAACGAGTATAAAAAAAGACATTTAAATAATAGAAACAGAGCAACATTCGTAGCACCATAATCCGTATTGGTTCTGCTCAAGGTCAACACAAGAATCGGGTACTTTTTCTTTTATTCACTACAAACCAATTCATTTAGCTATAGGTGACCGGACTGCTCACAGTATAAATAAGTGCCTACTATCTTATCTTAGAGTAATTAAGACGAAATATAGTTAACTATCTTATGTTTAACCACATACGCTGCAACAAATTTTTTATTATAGTTACCATCGCATTATAAATTAGTATCTATTTATGTTTCATTATGGTTGTAGTTGCATTGTAAATTAGTGTTAATTTAGTCACATATGTCGCAATAAAATATCATTCGAAAATATATATATAAAATATTTCATATACTTCTCTATTTAGAAGAAGATAAGATGCCTAGTCACATTCTTTGTGAATGCCTGGTTTTGATACCAGGAACTCTTACATCTTTTGTTCAGTAGGGTCACTTGTTAGTATAAAAGTTCTTTGGGTATTATTGTTGTTATTGTATCCGGTGGGGATATAAAGAGAAATTTGAAAGGCTTATAGGACAATAACATGGATCGCAATGAGGTGTGTGATAATAGGTAAGGGGAGAAGGGGGTGTGGGAGATACAAAAACCAACGAGTTGTACTCATTTATCTAAGTAAGATTATCTGCTCAAGATTTTTGAACCTAGACAACTTCAGATGATTATATTTAATATTAAATTATGTAACTTTACTTTAGCCATAAAGAAGGTTATCATCAAAATGATCTATGCCTTACTTAGATAATTATTATTTTCCTGATAATGTGGATATATTCAAAAATCATCAAAATGAACTATGCCTTAGTTAGATAATTATTATTTTGTCGGTAACGTGGATATATTATTATTTATTATTTTGCTGATAATGTGGATATATTTAATCTATATATCCATGATCTATGCCTTACTTAGATATATATTATTGTGCTGATAATGTGGATATATTCAAAAATTATCAAAATGATCTAGGCCTTACTTAGATATTTATTATTTAGCCGATAACGTGGATATATTCAAAAATCATCAAAATGATCTATGCCTTACTTAGATAATTATTATTTTACCGATAACGTGGTTATATTCAAAAATATATATAAAAATATACCAAAAAATGATGGATACTTTCCATATCACCCATCCAATATTTTACAGTAATGAAACTATCCTTTATTGAAACTTTTTACATTTTAGATAAATTTATTAATATTTAAAAATATTAACGCAATGGTTATCAGTAAATTTAGAATGCAATTGAATTAATCTTTTTGATATAACTATGACAAAACAACAATTGGTGAAGTTGGTGAAGTCGGTCTATGGTTTTTGATTATGTATACAAACTGTAGCAAACTATAAAGAGTAAGGTATGATGAAAAAAAAGATTACTCTATCTTAAACCTCAATGAAGTTTGAAATACCGGTTATACCGACACGTCGCGACTTCGACATTATTAATAGAGGTCTTTACCGGTACACAAATTTGACAAATTAGAAGCAAAAAGTCAAGCAATATACCAACTGCTGAGCACGTAATTTCAATCTACTTCCACCTTCACCTCAAAGTACAAACAATTATGAAGCTACATAGACACATAAGCATCTAATTACGAATATCCTTAACGCGTATTTTGTAAATTGTCACACGATTTTCATATTAAAAATTCCATAAATTTCATTAATGAAAATTTATTAAATTTTATTTTGTAACGTTAGAATGTGAATTACAGAACATATTTGCACATTTGTTAAATGAAAGATAAGCAGCGGGTTGACAGAGGTGAAACCCTTCAAAAAGGGAAGGATATAAGCTCGACTGACTAACATACTTGACTTAAGGGGCACAGTCATCTCATTTGAATAGTGTTAAAAGGCAGTTCATTTATCAACAGAATATTTTTTATCGCATATGTTCTTTTACTTTCCCTTCACCTTCTAAATCACCTATTCGAAATTTTAATATAAATGATTTAGCAAAGGAAGATGATGTTATGAGCGTGAATTATTTACATAATTCAAAAAATTTTTTCTGAATTTTATTACAGTAAGCAATATGAATTTAAAGTTTTAGAATAAATTTCCAAGTAATAATAAGAGAAATTTGTAACTACACCCGTAACCCGTAACAAGATGCAGAAGACGATAAGTAAGGAATAAATATATCTTCATACTTAATTACTTAGGTTTTTTATTTAAGTAAGATATTTATAGTTCGATTATATGTTGGAGAGCATCTATTCAATTAATCAGTACGTTACTGAAGAACTCTTAAAGACTTTTGCTTTAAAATTTTTAAAATTTTGATACAAGTACTATTTCTGGAAATATATAGTATGTGGTATATAATGCAAATGGGATAACGAAATAATGATGAGGTATTAATAAAATACTTTTAATACATTTGGATTTAAAAGTAGTAAAGAAATTTTAATATAGGTAAGAGCAAAGAACCTATCTATATAAACTATATAGAATTGTATCTATATTTATAAATTAGTTAAGAAATTAAACTAATAATTGTTATAAAAGAGTTTAGGAATTTAATTAATTTGGTATATAGTTAGTATAGTAAGTATCGTCTTCGAATTCACACGGTATAAATAAAAGAATAAATGAACTATTACAATAAATTCTAACATTGAAGAAATTCTTTAAACAGATTTTTTGTGGAACTATTTTTCATTTTTGTTAGTGCTGGTATTGATCACTTTTTTGTTAAGTTTGTTTTTTTGTAGTAAAGTTATCTAGCTATTCATATCTATAGTTGTATAGACTTGGCTCATTTAGATGTGAAGTGTTTGGTTATCATTATTAAATGAAATACATCTTTGCTCCATATATATAAGGCAGTCGTCGGACAGCGAGAGAGTGTAAGGCAGTAGTAGGAGAGCGAGAGTGAAACAATGGGAGTAAAGCGAGTGCATGCAATAATCAGTAGTGTGAGTCGGTAGTCGTAAAGCTGTTGTGTGATAATCGGCAGAAGCAGTGTGAAGGAGTTGAAAAGCTTTGAATTATATATCATACACTTTTATTACATTAAATTAATTTTTTTACATTTCTCTCGGACTGATTTAATGTGTCTTTCAAGAGATATGGGTTACTTAGACTGTACAAAGTGGGTAGATTATATTGCGATACTCTTAGGTTTAGCTGTATAAGATACCCCTGTCAGATACCCCTATTTTAAATGCAGAAATCGGAGTACCGTGCAATGCTTTTAATGCCTACAATGCTGTCATCGAAGTAATAATTGAGAAAAGATTATAAGTGGATATAGTTTTCTGAATATGTTTCATATAAGATTATATTAATATTATACGCCAATACTTTATGAGTACTGGATAGTGACAGGGAAGAATATTTATGTTTTCTCTTTTCTAACAGATTTGTTATTATTATAGTTATATGGCCACACATTTACACATTAACATTAACTTTAAAAAGGGGTTAGAATATTCCCGATGTAAGGCATGTAAGAGGCGACTAAAATTCATCTGACACCATCGAATACTGTTTGGAGTATAAATAGTGGAAAGTAAGTTTTACTTGCGGCAGCCGATTGAAAGTATATATCTCATATTCCATATCTCATACCTCAATTCTGACCAATTGAGGTTGGTCCCTTTAATGAAATTATTGTGGTGACTGTGTTTGAAAAAGTAAAGTTTCGATAGTAGAATGATTGTATTAATTTTTTTTTATTCAATATGAAGCTACATTTTTTCAACTGATTTCTATATCCAAAAGAGAAGTAGAGGTATTAGATGGACCTTGTTTCCTCCTACGGAAGAAAAAATATAGCTTTAATTGGTACTGGCGAAATTTCTTGGAATTCTGAGGAAGGTATTAATCGTTGCATTATACTGATACTTATGGTAAGAGTATCGTAGTGTTAATCCATAATAGCAGGTAACCACCTTAAAAGCTATGGACTTTGTGTGTAACACTGCATCAATTGTTAGACTTTTGTATCTTGCCCTTTTTATAGTAATTGAAGGATGTCTTCTGCTATAGCTTTATCCATAAGTTTTCATAGATCGATTTTTGTGAGAAATTTTTTTTCGAGAATAGAATAGACTTCGGCTTATATGAATTTCAGCTGACAGATTCGAAAAAGTTTATATTATTTTTTTTTTCATGAATGATTTTAAATTTGAACTTTGTTTTTCATTTTTAATCTACTAAATACGCTATATTTTCCTTAAATGTCGTCGTATATTCTGCTTACTTAGTGCAGTTATTTATAGATTTAATTTTTATTTCTAAAATAGTTGGAAAGCAAATATCTTGGCTATTTTGAAAGGTCATGTTTAGTTTCGATGAAGTTTTTCGCTTAGTTAGCAAAAACGAACAAAGAATTTCAATAAAATTCTATAAAATTTTAATATTCTACATTTTCACTCCATAGTTTGTTTACTATTTGTTATTTAAATTCCTTATTTAGATTTATATATAAATTGGCTTTATTTTTGTTAATTAAATTTGTTCTGTTGTGTTTTTGTTGTTTCATTTCCCTTATGAAAACCGCAACAAACTTAATTGTTAATTAAACAATTTCAATTAACAGCACGAAACCATAAATCCAATTCCCCAAGCAACTTAACAGAGTATTAAATTTATTAATAATAACATCAACTGATTTGAACTGCATCAATCACTGTGGCTTCTTCTGGGAGATGCCTTCAATTAGGCGAACAAATTGCTGTTCATTTGTTATATGAATAGAGACAGAAAGACACAAAGAGAGAGAGAGAGAGAACGAGTGTTCAATTAAAGGAAAAAGTAATAAAAAAAAATCAACTGAAATGTTGAAAAAAAAAAATATAAAACTGAAATTGAAATGTTATCAGAACTCAACTGAACTGCATAAAATCGTTAACAGAGAAATTGTGCTAAAATGTCAAAGGACGAAACATGCAAACTCACCGCAATTTTCTATGCTGCATAACCGACACAATCACAAGCATATTACCGAGTATGGCGGCGAGTATGATGAAACCAATAATGAAACATTTGACAATGACAAATGTTAAGTGTGAATCATTCAGCGCATCCATAGGAACTGATTGACTGCTGCCCAATGTACCAACGCTCAAACCGCTACCACCGCTGCCTTCGAGGTTGCTACTAATGCCCCCACTAATTCCACCCACACCACCAATTGGCGTACCACTCGCATCCATTAAGCTATCGACAACGAAATTTAAATATTTTGTTGCTTTAGCCTCCTCATTAATGAGCATAAATTGATTGTGTTGTTGTAGCGGATGATGCTGTGCAGTTGACGGCGCTGGTGGTGGTGCTGTTATGCTGGAAGCGTAGAATGTGGTGGCAGCATTTGTGCTCATTGTTGTTATTAAATTTATTGTTGTAGTCGTAGTTTTTGTTGTTGCTGCCGTGGCTGCTGTTACTGTTACTGTTTCGAGCGGTAATACTGACGGTGCTGCTTTTATTGTTGTAACCATAGGTGTCATATTTAATAATAAACTTGTGGCAACTCTTATTTACTGTTGTTTTTGCTTTTTGCTTTCGTTTCCTCGCTATTGTTGTTGATGTTAATGTTGTTGGTGGTGGTGATGGCGATGGTGGTAACGGTGGTGATGGTGATGGTGATGGTGGGTATGTTGACAATGGGATGATAGTAGCAGTTTTATTGTTGCAATGTGAGTATTTATGCACAATTACTGTTTGGTTTCACACTAAATGGATTTACTATTGTGTAATTAGCAGGGAAATTCATTTTTGGGATTTGTGGTATATCCATCGGTGGTAGGCTAGGCAATTGTAGCAGTGTTAGTCACTTACTTGTTGCTGTATCGGAGAAGGAGTAACAGCAACCTTATTGTATAGGTAATAAAAGTTATTCTGTTGTCATTTGTTGTCATAGTCAATCGCATTCATTATAGCTGTAATGAAATATAAGGATAAATTTAATAATTAATTGTTGTGATTTATGTTTTTTGAATTAAATCTCTAAGCACAATTATATTAATTTTAAACTGTTAATTTTGAAACTATTATATTTCCATACAACAAATAGATTGGTATCACATAGCCATGTTTGCTGTAAAGAATGTGAGACTGAAAATGGTAGATCTAGACAAAAGGCAGCTGTAACAAACGGTTAGATTACACCAAGACCAAATATAAGAATAATCACCTGCAGCAGTATTGGGGCCATCACACCGGTGGAAGTCATAAATGATTACCAATGACCCTTTCCCGAAGCAATATTAAAGTAGTTCCAGAGTAGGACAACGTTTATAGGTTGGGGATACGAGATATTTTGGTCATATCATCCGAGGTCCAAAATATGAATGGCTGCACCTGATTGTGGAAGGCAGAATAGAAGGAAAACACGACATGGGAAGAAAACAAATATCTTCGCTGAGGAACATCTGACAGTGGACTGGGTTACGAAGGATTGGAGAATTGGTAGATACTGCTAGATGCAGAGAAAACTTCAAAACCATTATTTCTTAATGTTGTAATTTATAAGATGATTGAATAAGCAATTAAAGAAGCAGAGATACACGTCTTAATTTATTTAACGTGACCACCTTTCGTGAAAGCTCAAGGTCACGGTGCTCTAACACATTTATTAGTATTATACACTAACAACTGCGCTGTTGGAATTCCAAGGAACTCCGTTGGTACTAATTGAAGTTATGCATTTGTATAGGTTAATCTTAAAATTTAATGATTTACCACGTGTTAGTTATTTAGATTAAATAAAATACGATTTTTTAGTTATGAGCTTGTGTTTTGATTCGTAGCCCAAGTAAAAGCGAAGGAGCACACTTTTGTCTAGTTGAGAGCTACCAAAGCTCCATTCGACGATCGAAATAATATCGAATAATTACTCCGTTAATAAAATTAAGCACAGAGTCGGATTTTAAAAAACGCGGGTGTCAACTTATATACTTCTCTCCATGATGCGATCTAGGAATGAGGGATAGGAATTTAGTTAATGTCGGGCGTGTCGGGCACTTGCTTTCCGGGGCGCCGGATTGTGGTTAGTATGCAGGCGTTCTGTTCCTCCACGCCGCACAAACAAAAAAAAACCAAATAAAATACAACAAATAACTTTGTAAATATTACATCAATTTATTATCATGATTGGCTGTTATCAACAGCTTTACTGACGCAGTGACTATTAATTTTCGTACAATATTTATACAGTAATTTAACACCATCTGTGATGTGCTGTGCTATCACAGCACACTCACACTGACTTCGATGTACGAAAAGGTGAAAAATATTTATGTACTTCATGTGAAACTGATTTTTCAGATAGGAACTATTAATATTGAAATTGTAGGAAGGAAGGAAGATTCAGTGGCAAGCAATCGGAAATAATGTTAAATCGTATCAAGTGCTTACTTCATAGACTATTTATTAAATTATTACATTATTCACAATACACACTCAGCCATTAATCAGTGGAGAAATGTAGTGCATGTAGCCCATAAACATGATTAATTAATACTTCATACTGCTTCATCCTAATTTAGAGATGCTGAATTTGTGTCGTGCCTGTTTGCTCAAACATAAACTTCAAATTCTACGAATTCAACATACAAAATATGACGAACCCCTAACAGATAAGCAATCAGGGTAGCATTTGACTAGTAGGTGGGTGTACGTCACGTACTGTACTCGATATCAGTTTGTTTACTGAATATAAATAACTGCTCGCGTATATCTGTCAGTATTCAAATTTGATGATGTATGCTGAAGCTGTATCAAAATTCAGACCGGAAATCAAGCAGGTAGATGTAGATACATTTTGCATTTGTTAGACAAAGTCTTCTACAAAGTAAATTAGAAACAAGTGGATACGGTGTATCTATGTGCGATGTCTATATGCCAGCACGTGTAAATTTGTATCTGTGCACAAATGGTATTTTAACTCGATTTTATAACGAAAATGAAATCTTATTAATTTCACAAAACGACAACGACGAAGCAAAAATGCTCCAAAACGAAAATAAAAATGTAAAGATTTTTGCAGGAATAAACAAGCTGTACTTTACTGATTCGCACATACTATATACTCATGCTTTCGGGTTCTCAAGGATATTTTTTCACTGTTTTTACAGGTTTGCCTTAAGGGAAATGAGTTTTGTGTATTTTTCGTCCCACTCCTCAACCTTGCCAATATAACCGAATCTTAAATCAATAAAATGGTAGAATTTTAACCGCAATGACAATGCCAGCAGTTGTAGTGATTTCAGTGTAAATACTAAAATATCTCTGGGATTTGCGTTGAAAAGAGATTGAAATGGTTTATGGATTGTTTTGTCGCAACAAAAGTATTATTGTTTTCAACTTACTTGTTTTGTTAGTTTTGTTCCTTTTTTCACAATTTTTCTCAATTCTTTTCAATTAAAGGTTAACTTTCCTTAAGTGTCAGTGAGATAACAACTCTTGTTTCGTTTACTTTCGAATTTTCGGTTCGGGTTTGTATTTTCGGTTGTATATTTTTATTGATTGGGATTACTTAAGGCAACCTAATCTCCTTCCTTAACAAAGTAACCTAATATCTGAAGGATTTTGGATTTTGTAAGTGTAAAAATCAAGACAAATTTCAAAGCTAATTGCTAATAAAGGTTAAATTTACAGTTTACAGGAAGTTAAATTTATTTTTAGTAAGGTTGATTGCAAAATCGAAAATGATAAAGAAAATAATTGAAGCGAAAATAAATAAAATTGTTAAGAAATTTCAATCAACATCAATCATTTTAAGCATTTTTGAAATATTTAATCAATTAAGTTAAAAAGCGTTTGAGTACCTTTTAAAAGAATTTATTTTTCTCATAAATTCTTTTAACGAAAATGACACTCAATTAAAAGTAATTCTTTCTGAAGTGCACTTTTATAGAGAAAACAAATAACAAACTAAGAAAAAAAAAATATTAAAAGTTTTTTAAATAAAGTTAAAATTGATGTAATAAAAAATGAAAGCACACGAAGAGGGTTAAAATAAATTTGGTTATCCCAAGGATTTAAGATGAACTTAATTAATAGAAATTAATTTTTGTAAAACTTTACAAAACATATCTTTACAAGACATATTGCTTACTTTATATTTTTAAATAAACCACAAATTGTTAAATTATTATCAAAAATATGTATTACTCTCATCAATACTTCGACTATACAATACATATTTAAACCAAATTAAGAAAATTTATTTAAAAGCGAACCCAAATATAATCTTTTTAACCACTTTATATTATATTAACTGAAATAACTCGCTTTGACTTAATGTAGTTAAAATCTTTTATAAAAGATTTGAAATAAACATAATGAGAATTATAATTAATATCCCAAGCTTTAAGTAATTCAATGGAGTATATAAATTATGTGCCAATTTATTTCACTATTAGCAAATTTTTCGAAAATGAGTAGCTATGTGACTACGTAAATATTTATTATTATAGTATAATTAACCATTTAAATGTTATTATGTTTTAACTCATGTGGTAAAGATAATATAAAAACCAACATGTGATATTGTTGAACCAACATAATGCGTCGAGTAGGAATATTTTAATGTGTGATTTAGTTAAAATCTAGTTAAATCAACTAAAGTATTTTTTTGAGTGCATATATTTATTATTCTTTATTGCTATGCCCAAATTAATATCATATGTTTATATTAATGTATTCTTCCAAGTAAAGTGACTTACTCTATTTTGACCTTATCGTCTAATATTATTCATAAAAAATTAAAATAGTTGAAAACCGCATTAAACCTTTAGCAAGAGATCTGTACTTTACCCAAGAAGTTTAGAGAAATATGTGGCTGAACAATTACAAAGCATATATAATACAGTTTCATCATTTTCCAAAATTTATTTTAAAAGCTATGGCAACAGTCGTACATAGGAATATTTAAACATCTAATATTATCTTTCAACCATTAATTTTTTGGGAACTACGCTCTCATAACACTTCTGTCTTTAAAGAGCATCTTAACGAGATCGTCAGTTAACTTTTTAGAAGAAACTAATTTGTTTAAATCTTGCTTAAATGTTCTACACAGTTTATAGCTTTTAAATGAACATTGAGAAGAGCTATTCTATAAGAGTCACTAGGACCTTAACTTTATACTATAATGCAGGTATGGAAGTGATACGCAAAATAATGATTGTGATTCTTACAAAGAATAACTAAGGGACAGCATTAATAAACTATAAGAGTAATACCGTTAAAACGAGATCTCTTAAAATCTCAATGCAAATCGCTTTAGTGGGCAGGAATAAACTGCTTCTGCTGCAGAATCGGTTGTGAAAGTTAAGACTCAAAGTCTACTCAGCAATAAAAGATAAATAACAATTTCGCTGATTACATTGGAAACGACAATATAACAAAAGAAACGAAAATACTCAAAATGAGCTTAAAATAAAGTTTAATAAGTTTTAAGTATTGATATTCAGATGTCTGAGTTGGTGAATCAGCACCTTTACTCTATTTTATCTGTGGACAGTTTTAAGTCACACTAAGAATAACTGATATTATTTTGTTATTATTTAAAACATGGGACTTAATAGCACGCAGGAACTTAAATAACAAATATACTCGCATGTCTTCTACTTTGCTAGCAAATAAAATCATAAAGTTTAGTTTAAGAAGAGGTTCTGTGAATACTTAGACATTGAAATGGTCAGAAGAAGTCAAGCAGAAGAAGCCATAAGGATCAAGGTTCGAGCTTCGTTGATCTTCTTAAATTATCTGTTCTAACTAAACGTAAATGTCTACCACGAGTTATCAAAGGTGCTCTGGAGTCATGATGTAATAAATATATAGGTTATTACCTATATATTTAACATTATTTAACATTATCTTGTCTTTTTTATTAATAATCATAATTAACTGTTTGTAATATACCA